GAGAAATCTGCTGATGAACTCTCTTAAATAGAGCCAATTACAATGTTACCACACTAATGGTGCGGGCGGATGGGTGTCTGGGGAACTCTGTGCTCTAGTCCATTCTCCAGTCCTCTGGACGGGGTCTCCCACTATTTCCTTTGGGAAATCTTGCCATAATCCAGCAGATTTCTCATTACGCAGTTTGTCCAGATATTAAGTTTATTATAATAGTTTACAAACCGTAGCTTAAATCTAGCTTATACCTCCTTGTGTTACCCTCAAGAATTCCCCCTCCTCTTGGGAGCTGTCATTTATCAGACACCAATTCATTAGTTGCCCTTCAGCAAGTTGTAACGACTTGGTTCCCTTAATTTTCACTTGTAAATTGAGCCTTTCGGCATCCTAATCACTCTGGTGTAATTTTACGCTCTTCGCTATTACTTTCAACTCAGTGACATACTGAAAATAACCTTTGTTCTGAAGATCCCATATAGAGGGAATGCATCTTGCCTGGTAACTTCTGTTCTATTCTGTTCCATTAACCTTGCTATTTCTTTGCATAATGTGTTTTTGAAAACTGCATTTTCTATCATGATTTAAAAGATCCATTTGGATGGAGAGAAGACACATGCACGCTTGGGTTAGACAGTCATGCGCTGCATAACTATTTTAAGCTTCCTCCTGATGGCTCTCACTTACTGCGGCAGGTTTTCAGAGACTGGCTGAGACGCACTGGCTCTTTAAAGCGGTCCTTTACTGAAAAGATATTATGGGCATTGTGCATCATTGGGGATGTTGAACTCTGTCAGTGAAATGCACCTTTCTGGTAGCACTACTTATGTAACATTTTCTTTTAAAAACTGAACTCTGATACAGGGTCCTGGCCAGCTTACTCATGATACTGTCCTTAAACCCCTATGTTTTGTGTCCCTGATACTGATGCACTGCTGTCATGCTTCTTGCCAAACATACCACTTTGTCCTAAAAAAAAAGGATTAAAGGAGAGTCTTGAGGACTTGGCATATGAAGGAGTCACTGTGCTAAAAGCTAGTGTGAGAATTTGTCCTGTCTGCTCTAACATTCCTTCTTGTACACATTTACTAACAGACTAAATGTATAGAAATGCAAATGACTTACCCCTCAAGAAAGCGAGAGAAGATTTGTTGTTTCTTATGGGATAAAAATGTAGGTAGGGTGATGCAACAGAATTACTGAGGTGCTGCAAATTCACATTCTGCTTATAGAAATGTGTTGTCTCTCTTCTGATGGCTGTAAATCATTCCCCTCAAAACAAATTGAGAGAAATAACACAGGTGTGTTGCAGTGTCTAATGCTTTCTGCCGGGTGTCCTTGTTGATCTAATACCAGCTGTCAAAAATGAGGGGGGAATGGCTAGTAAATAACCTGTAAAAGAGGGGTGAGGAAGATGCTTGTATTTGAAGCACTGATCTGTCATATTGGTGTGTCGCAGCTCAGTGTGAGCACTGTCTGGTACCATTGGGCATAACTCCTCCACCTCCTGCCCCTTTTGAATTTTCAGGGCATGGGAGAGATGTCGTCTCTGCCAAACAAGTGCAGACGCAGCAGCTGCAAGGAACCGTTTTATAGAGAGGATCCAGACAACTGTATCCTTTCTCGGCTCACCGGCCCCTTCCACGAGCACGTGGTGCGGTACAGCAGGCACCGGGTGCAATCCCTCTGCAGCGTGTTCCCGTCTGGAGAGAGTTACGCCTCCAATAACAGGAGTTCAAGCTGGGTGTCTAGGAAGTGTTTTTTTTCATAGTGCAGCTCTTGAGCAGTCATAAAACTTTTGATCCAGACAAACAAAGCCACAAGGCAAACAGACCATATACAGCTGTGCTGTCCTCACCTTCCCCCTGCAATGCCACTTCACGGGCTGCTTGCCCTCTGCCTCTGCCCCTGATTCCGGCTAGCCTGGCCCAGGGCTCGGGGTAGTGCACAGAGCTGGTGGTGTGAAACTTTCCTTAAGCTGCTGTTGTCTGAGTTTCGTTCACCGATGCTGGCCTTCAGTCCTGCAGAGATAGAGGAGGAATTAAAGGTCCTCCAGGATGTCCCCTCCCTTCTGAGCCAGTATGTGGAAGCTGAGCCTGCAGGTAAGGAGAAAAAAAGGGGGGTGGAGGGGGCAGAAGGTGGAATAAGGATGATTTCAGTGGGCTCCAGTTCCATGTGTCTTGTGTTCTTGGCATGTGCTGCGCATGAGGGACAGGAGCATTCTCTGCCTAAAATGAGGGCTGGTGAACACAAGGCCACTCTAGAAACTGGTATTTGGTGGGGAACGTTTCAGTATGCTCATGCCGCTGGTTTTCTTCTGCTTCTCTTCTAGACCATCCCACTCTGCAAAGAGAGTATGAAAGCCTTCTAACCTTGGAGGGTTTGCAAACCACAGTTTCCCAGTGCCTGCATAAGCTGCAGCTTCTGCAAGCAGGTGAGCCAGTCCCTGGTTTTGTAGTCGGGTGTGAATGTGGCCAGCTATGCTTAAACAGTAGTTTGCCATCTGTGCGCAGAACACTGTGGACCAACATAATTTTTCTCCTGGTTATCCTTATGGTAACGTAGCATGTAAAATTCTCTGGTGGCAAAGCAAGCTGTGGTATCTGTTTGCCACCCATCTGTGTTCAGGAGAGGCTTGGGACTATTAACTGCTGCGATTCAGGAGGGCTGGTGATGGAGCTGTTGAGAGATGGGGGAGACTGCATGCCATAGCTTAAGGTGTCCTGATTGGGCTGTGTGTGAGGAGCTTACCCTGACTAATACGATGTCATTAGTCAGTCATTCTAGGAACAGCAAGTAGATCACAAATTCTGCAAGTACAGATTTAACTTGTATATTCCTGCCTCTTGCCAATTCTTCCGCCCTGGCAGCTGTGGAGTCCCAGTTGAGGCTGTGCCCAGACTGCACTGGGGATGTAGGAAGCTGCTCTCCAGCCTGTGTTCCTCCCAGGGGACAGACGTGTGACAGTGCAGGCATGCTGGCTGTGCCTCTCCTTTGTTACTCCAGCTTCCAGGAGCTGAGGGACCTGTTTGCCTTGAAGCTGCAAGTGTCAATGCTGCACCAAGAAGTTGCCTTACAAAAGGTGAGTCTTTAAAAGTGTTAGTGCTCCTGGGGTAGGGCAAGAAAAGGGCAACTGAGGGGCAACAGCTGGCATACGGGGTCTTGAGGGGCAACAGCTGGCATACGGGGTCTTGACGGGGAGCAGCAGCACAGCAAGCTCTCCCGGTGGTGTTTCTATGTTTATACCTTGTGTCCAAGTCCCAACAGTGCCTTGCTTACTTTGTAGATGAATGGACTTACTTTTTTTAAGGCCAGAGCAGAGGCCTTTAAATGTCTGACCCTCTCCTGATAAGATTCTTTTTTAGCTACTCTTTCAGAGCTTGACAGTGGAGGATATTGGTAATGCCTGAAGACCCCTTTTGGCAGCCCTTTACAGTCCGATTAGGGCATCCACTCTGTCATTCTCTCCTGCGTGACCTCCAGCTAGTGAGCTCCTCTGCTGTCTGTTCCTTTCCTTTTAAATCTGAAACCACTGTGCTGCTGATCTTGACTTTACTGTTCTGAGACTGCCTGTAAGAACATGATAGGAGGTCAGTCTCTCCACCAGCCTGAGCAGAGTGCTTGCTGCACAGGGATCATTTGTTCTTCTCGACCAACAGCAGCAATGGACAGGGAAGATCTGTGAAATCACATCTACTCCTTTGACGTAACCTTTGTCGTTGATCTGAATGATAGAGGCTTTGGAAAAGCCATGTTTTTGTAAGCCAGGGAAGAGTTATAACTGGCCACGCTCCTCCCTCTGGCTGAAGATAGATTGCTGCCTGTCTTCAAATGGGACTTTAGCACAATAATTCTGAATTATGGGTTATGAGGGTTTTGGGTTTTATCTGCTCAAAATGAAGCAGTGACCGAAGCCTGCTGCCTGATGCTTCATCGACTGGCTCAATTTCCTCCGCACATGTATCTAAATAGGTGCTTTGTGCTGGATGAGCTTGGAGTATCTGGAGCAGTTCCGTGCAGAGCGTGCAAGATAGGTGAAATTCTTGAGACAGGTGAAATGAATGGACTTGGTAGAAGATAAATACTCTGGGAAAGGATGTACATATTTCTGGGCCAAGCCTGTCCATTGCTGCTCCATGGAGAAATGCCAAGAACCATAGAAAGTCCTTGTAGCTCTTAGCCTGTCTTTGATGGTGAAGGCCTGTTTCCTCTATTCTTATGCATCAGGAGCAGATCAGGCAGCTGGAAAAGAGAAGGGGCTCCCTCTTAGGAAGTGGAGCAGTGTAGCGCTCCTTCATGTGGCAACTTTCCCCTTAGGTAGCTTTCATGTCTGCAGCTCTTAACTCTTCCCAGAGATTAGCAACTGTGTCCTGTTTCCCTATCCATAGATTTATGGGGAACAGGAAAGGGAACCCCCTGCAGATGCCCTGTATTCTGTTTGGATCTTCCTTTGTTTCCACCGCTGAAAAATGCTTTGAGAGAGGTGACTGACACATGCAGTTGATTGTCCACTCTTCTCCTGGGAAGGCAGTGTGTACAGTAGGCTGTGTGGGTTTTTAATGTGCAGACTGCTCAGACTTCATTAGTTGATGCCAGCTGGAAAAAAGAAAAATCCCAGGCAAAATTTCTGAGCATTAATTCAAGAGTGGGGCACTAAAGGCTAACTTTCATCCTTTGATTGGAAGTTCACCTGCGTTTGAGTTGTCAGTCATGGTCGTAATCCAAGAGTTTTATGCTGTTAATTATGCTGCGACAGGCCAGTGGGTTGTTGGAGAGCATGGACTGAGATCATGAGCTAGGCTTAATAAACCAGAGGCCAGGTTGGGGAATGTTGGACAGCTTTAGCATCCCCTGTAGCCTGTGCTGCTGGGGAGGCATGCAGCTTTATTCTGTTTGGGCTGGATGGAGCTGGCCACTTGCCTGTCTGTCTTGGATTAATGTGACCCAACTAGGAGGTGACAGGAACAGTCATAAGCGAAGGGTTGACCTTACCATTGGGTGAGTAAGTGCTTCACTGTGTGGTTGCAGAGCTCCTGAACCAACATCAGCTTCAGCTTTTTGCACAATGCTGATCTCATCCCGGTGCTGGGCCACCTCTGCAGCAGAGGAAAAGCACTACCATTTGTCTCACTGCTCCAGGAACACTGGGTGGATGCTGGTGTACTTCATGAGCAGAGGATGAACAACTCTGCCTTTGTTAAACATGATGAAAGAAAGCATCTATCTGTCTATCAATTAACATGTTGTTAGTTACACTGCTCTGGTGAGATTTCACTTGTTATGCAGCCACTTCACTTCATGGAATCCTAAAAGTGCACGCTGGCTCTGGTGACGCGTCTCCTTTGCTTCTGCCCAGGTCATGATGGCAGAACTCCTGCCTGTCCTGGAGTCCAGGCTCTACCCGGAGGCCTCTGCAGCTCAGCTGTATCGGGCAATTTACACGCAGCTCTGCGAAGGAGGCAAGCGATTCCCTGTGCTGGTGAGAGATGAGCTGGCAGACTGATCCAGTGGGAACCTTCTACTTGCCATTCGCATAACCAGAGACAGTTTTAAGCAATAAATCTTTTCTATTAACTTTTTTACTCTGCCTGTTTGTCCAACTAAATTTGGGGGGGGGGGAAGGGGTGGTGTGTCCCCGCCCCCCCCCCGGCTCTTTTTTTCTTTTGTATCACTTTTATGACCTGCTAACTGAGGTTTTGTGAAGCCACTTCAGGGCTTCATGGACACTGGTTTTGGCTTTTCTTCCAAGGTCTGTCTCTCTGGCTAGCTCTAGATTCTTAACTGCCTCAGTCGTGACACCGGGCTCCTATAGGCAGACAGTGCACCAGGCAATAAAACATGATTTATACTGATCAGATAGCCACTGTGCGGTGGGGCACAGCCTTCCAGCATCTGAAAATCCAGAGAACCTGAGCTCCTGCTTCCCTATTACTCTGTTCACCAATTGGCATATAACCAGCTTTATAGCGGTCACTGTAATATTCACTAACAGTGTTTTCGATGTCTTCATCCACAGCGGCCGAGGCCACATGCAGTAGTGCCTCTTGTGGAACTACTCTGGTTTGCCCATACCTGCTCTGAGCTGGGCTGGTGCCTGGATTGCTGTGCAGCTGGAGCAGTCCCTTCTCATCAGCTTGTCAGTCACATCGCTGCTCAGTTCAGGGCCCCTTCAGGCAGCTTCACGACTTGCCAGGCTCTTTTGTAAGGACTTAGACCTAGCCTACAACTGGAATGTTTTTGCTATGCCATCTTATCTGGTGATTGTGCCTGAGGCAGCAGTCTAAGAAGGGCTGGGCTATCAGCGCTTGAGAGATGTCAGGGAATCCAGCTGCAGCAGGAGGGAGCTGATAGAGCAGCCCAGTAGATGGCACTCGGCCCTTTGCGTTACTGCTGACCCTGTGCCGGCAGCTGCTGGAGGAGCAGTCTTCCAAAGGGACTAATGCAACGTCCTGCCTGGCTATGGAAAACACAGATTCTGTGGCAATTCTGACCTTGTCACCATGGGAAAATTCCAGCTTTGGTTCCCCCTGCATCGTAGGTTTTTGCTTGTAATTCCCAAATCCCCTGGCATTTCTATGTGACAATTAAAGCAAATTTAGAGTCATGTGGAATACCTCTGCTTGTGAGCACTTTGAAGTCCATTTAGGGAAGGGCCACTGTGTACCACTGCTTATTACAGTTTGACTCGCACCGTATCTCCTAGCTGGATTAGGACTGTTTGCCTGGGGGGATTTAGCTCTTAGCAGTGCTGACAGTGGTCATTATTTTTTTCCTTCTGTTTTTTTCAAGGCCAGAGTTAGTTGTCTATCTCTTCTGAATGTTTGGCCCTTTCTGACACTCAGAACTCACTAAAAATCATTCATATGATAGATGAAAATCAGCATCTCTTACTTTCACTTTTTTTTTTGCATTACATTCAGTTCTTTGTAGATGGTATTTGATTTCCCATGGAGTCTGCAATCAGGGCAGGGGTTTGTTACCTTCTTCCCCACTGCAGCGTGCAGAGGAGTCCTGTGTGGTTTACATCTGCATGGTCTACGAGGGAAACCATGCTGTGGTCAACAGTACTGGAGGATTGCAAGGTATTGATTAAAGGCTGCTCACAGGAGCAGACTCTGCCTCCTAAATTAACGTGGCCATATGCCATGGGCATTAACATCTGCACGTTTGAATTGTAGAGATGACATTTGGTATTGTTAATTATCATGTTGTTATCCATAACATGTCTGTAAGCACTGCATGAGTCATGGAGCATCTGCTTCTTTGCACAGAGCAGTCCAGTGTGTATTGGCAGTAACTTCACTGCCACAGCACGGGCTGCATAAGTGTGAAAGGACTGTGAAAAAGAGACTGAGCCCACAAAAATGGGTTCGCAGGGGTTGTTACAAGCTCAAAAGGCAAGCTGAACCGACACCGTAGGAGGGGTGCAGAAGGGGAGCACAGCTCCCAGCTGATGACTGGCAGGTAGCTGGGTTGTTCTGAGCCTCTGGGTACAGTGTGGTTTTATTACTCTTCCTACACCATGTGAGAGATATTTTATAATTTCCATAAATGTGTAAGACTTTAAATCATTTGAATGACTCACTTTTTCAAATGAGTCTTGTGCTGTAGCTGAGATTCAGTAGCAACTTAACTCAGTGGTTAGGGGGTCTTTTTCGTTACAAAATGTGCTGTTGTTATAGAAGAAAATCATACTGGTACATCAAATTGAGATGAGGAAGAAAGAAAGACAAAAGGTAGTATTTGTGATGCCAGGGGATAGTATTACAAAAATACAGGAAATGAGTAGTATTTTTGGAAAGTGATAGATGATACCAGCGTTGTGTAGACATGAGCTGAGACAAAGCGCGGTTAGGGTCAGGGAGGATTAGCAGCTCTTATTCCTTCTCTGTCTCCTACAGTAGAGTCTTAAAAGGTTTTTGTTTTTTTCACTACTGAAGGATGTGAAGCTGGATCCCTGGAAGGAGAAAGGGGTTTTTTCTTTTCTCTCCAGAATCTGTGACTTCAAGCATTTCCAACTGCTACGGTTTGTCTTTTCCACTGGTTTCCTCCTTTCCTTCCCCTCTGCAACTTCTCCACTTACTGTTTTTGTTTTTGCATGTATGTTTGACCTGACCGGTGGAAGGACAGAGGCAGTGCTGCTGTTAGTGCACGCTGCAATCAGTAGACCCTCTTGTAGGATTTCACGCGCACTAGTCATCTTTGGTTAGTTCTGGACGTTCATCGTGTTGAAACCTTCAAAGGGTTTATCCTGCAGATGTTATCAGACGTGCCACCAAGTGCTTACTACAGCTCCCTCCTTGGGAGATACAGCATGTAGAGACTGAAAAGTGTGGCTTTAGGGATACTCTCTGTCTAAAATAGAAATAATTTGAGTCTTGGTAAGAAAGAAGGCAAATCTCGCCAAGAGTGGTGTGGAGGAATGTCCTGCCCCTTCCAGCCTTTTTGAGGGGTCTAGCAGCGTGTGAGCAGTGATGGAGCATGACAACCTGTGACTTGCTGAAATGATTGCATATACAGCAGGAGGTGCAGGGTCCCACCCCTGGGGCAAGGGCAGGAAGAACTCCCCAGTCGCCCGGGCCAGGAGCACAGGTTACGGTTTGGAGAGGCAAAACCAGATGAACTGTGTGAGGGATAAGGGAATTTTGTCAATGAGCAGTTTAAGATGGTAAGTGTTGAACTGGGGGGCAAAACTCCCAGTCTCTCTGTAGTTGACAAATTTGCTGTCGGTGTTATTCTCCAAATGAGCTTTCTGTGAGCTCCAGAGAGCAGCTTACTTAATTAAAACACTATATGTAGTCAAGTCTGAAGTATTAACACCTGAATCAGCAACTTGTCGGGCAGTGTGCACTGTCAAGGGTTTCTGGAAAGCAATGGTGCTGTAAAATGCTGAGACAGAAAGCTTGTATTTGTAGTAGAAGTACTGGGGTGAGCTATATGTCCTCCACACACATCCTTTATTTTATTTTATTTTCTCAAATCAATCTCTCCCTGAGTTACAGAATTCAGCATGAGCTTGGGATTTCCAGCTGAAGCTTTGCTGAGAAATTTTGTCTGCTTCTGATAAATCTGAAAGTGATGTTGGGTTATATGTGAGTGCAAACCACGCTGAGGATGCTGAACGTGGATAACACAGGATGCGTAGGGCCCCTCCAGACTGTCCCAGGGTGTCTAATTCTCGGTATACTGTAAGCAATGAGTTGGAAATGCTTTAATAGCCTTGTGAAAGCCAGGAGAAGGGGCCAACGTGGATTTTTTTTCAGGCAGGCAGCCAGTTCACGGCTGCGCGTTTCCAGTACCGAGTCCTATCACCAGGTGGGGTCACTGAGAGGCTGTAGCAGATGATGGATCTGACACTAGGGGCTCTTCACTTTTTATCTGTAAAATGGAGATTGATATTATTTCACTTGCTCATTAGCTGGGTTTTGCCACATCTATGCTCTCTGGAGCAAGGCCTTTTTGGTTTTTTTTGGGGGGGTTGTTTGTTTTTTAGGTTTTTGGTGGGGTTTTTTTAGCATATACACTGGGACTGGCGCAGTTGACACCTGGTTTCACTGGAAGCTTCCTAGTCCTCCTTCACTTCCATTAAAAACAACCTCACTAAAGAAAAACCCTAATCATGACTCAGTCCGACATGAAAACAGTTCATTAAATAGGTATTAAAATGTCTATTATCCACCATGAAGACTGAATACTCTTTGTGTAACATCAAAACCACCATCCAGAAGAAAAGATCTATCATCTCGTTTTTAATTTGTGAAGAAAGAAGGGCTTTAGCATTGTAATCAAGAAAAATCTATTGCTTGTTAATTAATCTGAGCCTATTTAGAAAGAAGAGGGCAGGAAGCAGTGTGCCAGGGTATAAAGAGCTGGTAATGGGAAGGGGGAAAAAAAAGATCAAAAGCGAGTTTTGAACTGTAATTTCAGAAGGCGAGAAATTACAGCAGTGGGCAGTGGGCTATTTAGGCACACAAATGGAGGTGTTTGACTTACTTTTAGACACAACAAGAAAGATAATCAGTGGATCTGGAGTTTGGATAGGAAAAAGCAAATAGCAGCAAGGTCTGAGTCAGTGGAGGAGACTGACCCTGGAGAAAAGCCTGTCTGAAATCTTCCCTCCTGGTTTCTGAGGACACAAACTCCCAGTTGTGCTAACACCTGCCGGTTAGGCTTTTTTTCAGCCCTTGCATGTTATAGTGGGAAACAATTTATTAGTCTCGTTTTCTTCTTAAACTGGAGATAAAACAAGGGAGGCTTAATGCGCATGTTCAGGTCAGTAAGACTTCCAACGTGGGGTTGCTTTATGCACTGCAAATGAAGTTGCGTTGTAAATTATGTTGCACTGCACCTCTGTAGCGCCTCATCGTCCTTTCTCCTCTATTAAAACTATTGCACCACATCTGTTGATGCAGCTGGCACAGCCTTGTAGCTTTGGAATTTGGAAAAGTGCGTTATCTGAGGATCTCACCCTTTTGGGTTTTCTCCTGCTTCAGGTTCTAAACTTCAGAATAGGCAA